AGACTTTTGTAGAAATGTCTATATTTGTGACTTTTATTGTGGTTATATTACTGACCATTTGGTATAATTGGCGTAAAAGACATATGAATAAACTTAGACGATATGGTATTCCGGGTCCAGAACCACATCTAATATTTGGTAATTTTAAAGAATATCAAACCAAAGGATATGCCAAATGTCATGAGGAATGGATCAAAAAGTACGGCCGAATTGTTGGCTATTATTTGGGAGGAAAGCCGTTTATTCTGATCGCAGACCCGGAACTGTTAAAAGTGATTCAAATCAAAGAATTCCATCAGTTCTCGAAGAGACAACTTTTGTTGGACAGCACGGGTCTCAATGCAAACCCACGCTTAAGCCATAGTCTGATTGCTTGCGAAGACAGTCGTTGGAGGGAAATGCGATCCACTCTTTCGCCAACTTTTAGCGGATCTAAACTCAAACAAATGACTCCTATTATGGAGTCCGCTATCAATCAGTTTATCTCAAGAGTCACTGAACACCAGAAACAAGACAAAGAGATGGATATTTATGAACTGGTCCAGGGCTTGACTATGGATACAATCGCTAAAACGGGGTTTGGATTTGAGTCCGGATCACAAACGGAGACCGAAAACAAAGTGATTCATGCCGTCAAAGAAACTTTTAATGTAAAAGTCTCTCAATTCTTACTATTCTTATGGCTTTCATTCCCCGAATTGAGAATATTTATTAATCCTTTGCGAAGATTTGTGGAACAGATTAAAGACTATTTCGGTCATTCATACCATGGATTCCTTCTTAAAATTAGTGATCAATTGATTAAACAAAGACGAGATCAGAAGAATAATAGAAGAGATTTGTTACAAATGATGATTGAGTCCGAGGGCACTGAAGTGCTCTCTAATGACAAACTATCCATCAGTAGTGATATGAATGACGACACTGTCGTTGAAACCAAGATTAGGATCAATAAGAAGGCGAAGATGACCGACGATGAGATCGCCGCCAATTCTGTGCTGTTCTTCGAAGCGGGTTATGAGACGACGAGCACTGCTTTGGGATATATAATGCATGTCCTCATCAATAATGAGGACATCCAGGAGAAGGTGAGACAAGAAGTTCAAGAGTTATTACAATCGGATGGAAAACTGGATTACAATACAGTCACCAAATTAAAGTATATGGAGTCTGTTATCTATGAGACAATGCGAATATTCCCTCCGGTTACCACTTTTATATCACGACAATCCAAGAATGACTTCCCATATAAAGGTCTAACACTTCCAAAATGTGTTGATCTTCGAGTTCCCCTCTATTTCCTCCACAAGGATCCAGAACTCTGGTCCGATCCTGAAGTGTTTGATCCGCAGAGGTTTTCAGAAGAAAATAAGCATTTAATAAATCCAGTGGTTTGGCAGCCATTTGGTGTGGGCCCTCGAAACTGCATCGGAATGAGATTTGCTTTGCTTGAGATTAAACTGACCCTGTCTAAATTGCTAAACAAATATAAATTCATTGCATCAAAGAATACAGAATTGGGAGACATTGAGAGGGAATTCAAGACTATTTCAATGACTCCTAGAAAAGGTGTCTTTACTAAAGCCGTTCTCATTTAATATACATTTACTTTTAATTATTATTAAATATGGGACTTAAATGGTCTTGGTAACTTGTAACTGGTAACTTGTAATGTTGCCGTCCGATTAATTGTATATAAATTATTCTTGTTTATTTAAAATAAAATATCCATTTTACTAATTACTTCAAGTTTAATTATATTTCAATTATAATCTTAAAAATAATATTATATTTTCAAAACTTTATTTTCAATTGAATAACAATTTAATTACTGTATTAACACGTTTGATAATAAACATACGATTAGTCGCGAATTGAGTATAAAAAGGCAAAACATTAGACATAATCCATGTTTGAATTATTAATAATGAGATAATTTAAATATTTTAATGGAAACTATCTATTGATTTGATTTGATTTGTTGGTAATTCATATAAAAAGTTTGTAAACTTATTGCGCGAATGACTGAATATATATTCATATATCTATATATACTG